GAGTTTCACTTTGCCATAACCAGCGATCCGAGGTGCCACGATTACCCAACTACGAATAACACGCAATACTTCATATCCCCCGGTTTCGTTGTTATCACTACCAATTTCCCTCCCTTTCGTTTCCTCCTCCCGTATCACCAACTCACGGTGGTTCCATGGAATTCCATCGCCCCGTATTGGCCCCGCACGCCTTGCGGAAATTGTCGGTGACGCGGCAACCAACGAGTCCCTGAAACTAGGGGGCCTAACCAAAACGCGCGACGACAGACGCCACGTGTCTGCACCCAAAGGTCCGACTCAATCGAGAACACGACTATCCCGAGCGGGCCTCTCCCTGAACCACCGACACCAAAACAGACGAATCATACGGCCTTAAATGCACCACACATGCCATCTGCCTTATGTTGCACGACATCGAACGCCCCAGACCAGAAGTAACTCGCCCCCTTAGCCCTATTGCATCTATGCCTCTGAAACTTTGCGACAGGAGATCTCAGTTCCGACCCGGGACTCCACCCCCACTTTCCCAAAAATCCTTGGCACACCCCTTTTCGCACTTCAAGGCCCACATCCCACTCCGATCAGGAAGTCGAGCCGGGCGTGAGGTTTGGGCGTCATAACCTACCAGTGGCTAGTTTCGAGCCAGACACACCAGACTTTGTTTTTTTTTTGTTTTTTTGTTTTTTTGTTTTTTTGTTTTTTGTTTTAAACACACGCCCTGCAATGCTAGTGGTGCTGGCCCGGGTAGGAGCAGGCACCACTAGCACCTGGGGAGAGGCTCCATCTATTGGTGGGGAGCATCACCGGACTCACACCGGACTCCCCAATAGAACACGACACTCTCCATAGTGGAGGGAATTGGGAAGGCTCTACATATGACCCTAATACATACGCCTTGAGGTGGCCTGATAACCAACCTACCAGTGGCTAGCTCGAGCCGGACACACCCCCAATAGATCGCGACACTCTCCACCCCCCTCCCGACTGTCCGCCTGCTGTTAGCCTACCGTGGCTCGAACCAACCGAGAGCCCTAGTTGGGAGGTTCAACCCTTTTCAATCTAAAAAAGAGGAAGGACTCAATTTCCCAGTTCAACCACAAACACGGTCGGGAGATAGGTTGAAATCTTGACAGCGGAGCCAACAGGCCTGTCTCTATTGGTACACCTGTGAACTGTGGAAATGCAGACCAGCTTGTGACGCCCAACCTCATGCCCACCGCGACTTCCTGATCGGAGTGGGATGTGGGTCTGGAAGTGCGAAAAGGGGTGTGCCAAGGATTTTTCGGAAAGTGGGGGTGGAGTCCCAAGTTAGAACTGAGATCTCATGTGGCAAGGTTCTAGGGGCACGAGTGCAATAGGCTAAGGGCAAGTTCCTTCCGGTCTGTTGGCGTTTGTGTCGTGCAACATAAGGCAGATGGCATACGCGGCGCTTTCAAGATCGTCCGCTTCGTCTGTTTTGGGGGCGGTGGTTCGGGGCGAGGTCTGCCCGGAATGGCTGTGATTCTGATGAGTCGGGTCTTTGGGGGTGGCCTCGTGGCGTCTATCGTCGCGTGTTTGGGTTAGGCCTCCTGTTTTCAAGGGCTCGTCGGTTGCCGCGTTGCCGACAGTTTCCGCAGGGCGTGCGGGGCCAGTACTCGGCAATGGAATTCCACGGGACAACTATGAGCTGGTGATACAGGAGAAGGAGGCGGAAGGGAGGGAAGTTGGTAGCGATAACCACGAAGCCGGGGGATATGAAGTAGTGTGAGTTATCTGAAGTGGGAAAATCGGGACACATCGGATCGCTGGTCGTAGCACAGTGAAACTCCCTAGGGCACAATCGATTCTCGGTTAGGCAGGGGAATTCTGGGCGTCTCCGTCTGAAACACTCGCTCACCCAAGGGTTGAAATACTCCAGATCACACGACGAGTCTGAGTCTCTCGAGTACGTCATCTTGTCATCGCGGTGTGATGAAATTCTCCCGCACGCACCTAACCGGCAAGGGGGATTTTGCGATGTGATATCGGAATTCCCTTCCGTTTGGGTGCGTAGGGGAACAATTATCCCCGCCTACCCGATATCGACGGTGTCAAGTTCGCCAATGGTTACGAAGCGGCGCGCGTGGATACGTGTAGGCTGCGCAGATCAGATCG